AGTCTGCTGGTTTGCACGAAATTTCCATTTATGATCATTAAGAGAAGTAATTATTAGAAAGTTACTACCACCACAAAGTTAAATTTCATGGATGATGAAAGTAGCAGAAGATATGAAGAAACTGATATTAATAATTATTTGAGCTTGAACATTCAATTTCAATTCGAAATTTTCAAATTACATAGTTTACGTTTCAATGCTTTATTTGATTCTTAGAAATTTTATTCCTTATTTTTTTTGTTGCAAATACCTGTGGGATCTCTTTGTGATACGCATCATAATGTTCTGAATATTAAAAATTCGGTTCTTAGAAATTTTATTCCTTACTTTTCTGCTAGATATCGTATTGCAAATACCTGTGAGATCTCTTTGTGATACGTATCATGATGTTCTGAATATTAAAAATAATATTTATTAATCAATCCTATCAAATTGTTCGTATCGCAAAATAAATTAATTCATTGAAATTTTTCATTTTAAAATTATTATTCTTTAATTTATATTTTTTTTAGAGAAAAGTAAAGAAGAAAAATGATTGATATTTGTTTTTTAAAAAAAACAATAATATAAAGAAATGAAATTTTTGAAGTCATTTTTTATCTTTCAATATTTGCTAATTTAATAATATTTGATAGCCGGCTCTTGGCTCATAAAATTTGATCAAAATTAGCTTATCGCAATTTCTTCTTGGCTCTATTTCTACATAGGCCATAAGTCAATGTATAATTATTTCGACTATTCTTTTTCAATTTTTCATCAAAGTAACGAAAAAGGCATTTTATAAATTTGAAAGAATTTGAACGATAAAAAAAGAGAATAATTTAAAATCCCAATGATGGAAAAATATTTCATTAGGCTTACTCTATTTTTCAATGAAAAAAGGAAAATATATCGGAAAGAGGCAAAGTAAAATAATGGCATATTAATTTTTTTTTCTTTTAAGGCATATGCATTAAGGCATTTCATAGAAATATTTTGAAGCAAAACAATTTTTGCAAATGACATCGAAAAGTATTTGAGGAAAACTTTTCTTCTACAATTGCTTAGCAGAAAAAAAGGAAAACATTTAGCAAAACATACAAATCAAAATTTTAATGAGAAGAAATTTTTACTTTGTTTATTTTAATGATCTTCGAATATTCGATTAATAATTTATGCGATAATTTGCTTATTCATTTAAGTTGAAAAAACAAAAGGAATTTTAATTGATATTATATTTTAGAAGTGCTATCAATCATTACATTTGTGCGTCATTAAAAATCTCAGAAGTTTATCTGAGAGTGTCAGATTTATTTTTTGAAATTTTGATGTAATATTTATTTTAAAGCATAATCTTCGTTTTCAAATTCAAATTAATTTTTAGTGATGAAACTGAAAGATAAATGCATAATTTTCAATTAAAATTAATCGATTATAAAAATTTTCTCTCGGATACAGAGATTTTCATATTAATAAAGTTTGCAAATTTAGACATTTAGTAAACTAACAAAAATTGATATTACACGAATTTTTAATCATAAAATTGTTTCATTTCCCTTGATTGATGCATTATTTTTTTGTTTTATCTTTTGTTCCTCTTTTGTTTTATCTTAATTTGATGAAATAAAGGTTTATCAATGATAGTAAATTTAATTAGAGAAAGTAAATTTAAAAAGAAAAAATTCATTACGAAAATTAAAATTGCACATATGCATTTCATATCCGACTATATATCTCTAAAGAATAATACCACAATCATTCCTTCATTTCGAAATGGAAATTTGAATTTTGTCACTTAGAGCTAATTTAAATAATGCTAGATAATAAGTGATGTTGTAGATGAATGAGGAAAATTGGACGGAATGAAAAATAGGATTAATGAAATTTTTTTAATGGGATAATTATAATGGATAAAAAAACAATAGATCTTACCAGTCAAGCCAAGAATGAAAGCGAAAAGTCTTATCATTTCTTTGATCACTCAATTATAACCTTTGAAAGATGGCTTTTTTGGTTAAAAAAATTTTGGTCCAAAAATTGATGATAAGACGCTGATAAAGTTAGTGTAAAATTAATCTTCCAAAAATAATAACTTTTTAATTATGCTAAATTAAATTTATCGTTCAAATGAAAAAGCATTCGAAAAAATTTTTAGAGCAATTTTTATTTCTTTCTGTAAAATTCGTCTAATCAAAGATAAAATTTAGATAGAAAGAATCTTTTCGTGATTAAAAATTTAAAACCATTTCATTCTGTCATTTGAGAAAGCAGTGTATATCAAAGTGTTTAGTTGCAACCGGAATAATAACGATATGAATCCGGAAGTAAAACGAAGAGAAATAATCGATAATCCTGAAATTCACTTTTACCAAATATCTTAAAATAACATTTACAATTTTCTACTTAAAAGAATTTTTTACTCCAACAGTAATTACTAGCAAAAGAAATTAGTAATGGTAATGTAAAAAAAAAATAAATTTCTGCTAATTTGTGAACCTTTGATATCTTTGAATAAAGAATGTTCTCTGATAAGCTTTGATCACTTTATCTTTGAATAAAGAATATTCGTTGATAAGCTTTGATCACTTTATCTTTGAATAAAGAATGTTCGTTGATAAGCTTAAATCGCTTTATCTTTGAGCAAAGAATGCTCATTGATAAGCTTTAATTATTTTATCACTTCATTTCTTCCAATAATTTTCATTCCTCAAATAAAAAGAAAAAGAAATAACAACATGTAATACATTAATAGTGGAAGCATTAGAATAAGAAACTATGAATTCTGAATTTTTAATAATTCAATTAATTGTTCTATAAATGAAATCAATTTCAATTATTTCATTACTATCTGTTCGAAGAAAGTTAACTTTGAAGAATGAAAATCATTGATTACAACGAAGTAAAACATCTGATTATATGACTATTAAAGAATGAAAATTAAAAAAGGTTTTATTTAAGTTGCAATTTGGAATTAGTGATAATTTGATCTAGAAAATGTGAAGTAAGGTAAAGAATGAATGATAGATTGAAATTTCAAATGAGCAGAAGACAGAAGGAAGATAAAAGTTAACTTTAAAAAATTCCATTAAAAAGTTTTAGATCATTTCAGTTATCTATTAATCCTTCTTAAAATTGAAATTTACAGTTGAATTTAAATTCTTAATTAATTGATAGTCAATTGTTAACTAATCGTATTTTTTTTTAAATAATATTTAGCTTAAAAAGCTTTCAAAAATATTATATCGAAAAAGATCGAAGAAGTCAGCTAAAAGGTCGAGTGCAGAATCAATCAAAGCAAGAAAAATGAAGAAGGTGATGGATCGGAAGTCAGTCCAAGTCATCGAACCAAGTCAGCTTACACGTTCTGGTTGTTAAAAAAATCGTCTCGTATATGCATCATTGATGTAAGCAAGACGGCAAATATTGAATGGGATGGAATAAAAGATAAGAGCAAATACGAGAAGAGAGCTAGCCAGGATAATCAACGATATGAAGCGGTACGAAAAACTACGAGAAAAAAAATAAAACTGAAGGTCAAAGGTGACAGTTTTTTTCCTCTTAATGCAAATTCCTTTTTTGAAACCATTAAATATTCTTTGTATGATTTTTTTATGATCAAATTATTCGATCAAATTCAGCAACCCAACGTTTGAAGAACTTTTATTATATAATCAGAAATATTTTACATTCATATCATTTGATGATTTTCTTTTATTGTAATAAAACGGAATTTTTCACAAACAGAATGAACGGTGAAAGTGATTCAGGCTTAAAACAAAAAAGGAATTCCATTCCGGAAAGTATTACTGCTATCTTATCGAATCGGAAATAAACTGCTAGAGATCGAATAGCATTGTGAACTTTTTCTCTCTTCTATCATTGCTAACAAAAACAATAACAGCTTACAAAATGAGACAAAATAATTTAATTCACATTTGATTTTGTGACTAATATTAATTACTTCTTTTGTTTTTAAAAAAAAGAAATGAAAAGTGATTAAATAAATCAATCAATAATAATTTGTTGAATTACTTTTAAGTGATTGAAAAGAAAGGTAAAATTTTTTGAACTTCTTGAAATAAAAACTGAAATGAAATGAATTATGCATTAAAGCAAAAGAAACTTTCAAATATTTCTCTTTTATTTAATTACATTGAGTTTATATTTGTGTGAATGAAATTTCTATTGTAAATTTTAAGTAAATTAATCTTTAAGTTTTTTAGATAATCAATCATTGTTAAAAGTAAACAAAAAATGGTTTGAGATGAACTGGAAGTTTCTTCTGCTATTTCAATTAGTTCTATTCTTTTTGCATTCATTTCATTCTACTTCTCTCTACGTGAACCTTACGTGTCACTGTATATGTGATACGTGAGGAAACATGCAACAGTTCCCCATTGAATTGAAATCGATAGCTAATAATACCTCAGTATCAATAAAATTATTTCTTCAAATAAAACTTAAAGTCCGATATCACCAAATACTATTATTACTGACCGAATGCATTGAAGATTTCGGAATGAAATAAAAATATTCGAAAGATATTTTAATGTGAGAAAATTATCTGAAGAGGTATTTTCCTAAAGCACGACTGTTATGGTATTGCGCGGGATGCGGGATTCAATTGTATCACGCAATATTCAGAAGAAAGATTAATTAAAACATCTCGAAAAATTAAAAGGCTTCCATGAAATCTTAATAATAAAACATAAGAAATGATAAACTTATAAAAATATCGGAAAAATCTGAATAGGTTCATCATTCATGCGGCAACTAAACTTAATTTTGTCACAATTGTGTCACATCAAATCCATCAACTTATTAATCTTACCCTTTAATCCTTTCATGATCGGAATATTAAATGTAACATTGTTTGCATAATTCATTATGCAATTTCAATCGTTCAACAATAATTCATTAATAAATAATCGATAGCTGATGCTTATTTTCATTTTGATAAATACTTCCACTATTATCGTATTCTATCAGTACTACTGCTTATCTTTCTCATCCATTTATTTTTAAATATTTGATACTTTTTCGGATTTTTGGATACTTTTTTCTTCCATGTTATCTTTTTCCGTTTCCTCTTTAATGTCATTTCTTCGTGTCTCTTTGGTATCGTCCGTTTTTTCAACTACGTGACAAGTTTTATTTACAGTTGGAGTTAGCTTCTGATCATAAGAAAATCGCTCATCAGCATGTTTCACCTGAATTGTTAAATGGCAAATTTTTTTTCGATTTAACTTTTATCATTTAAAAATAAATGGAATTCTGATTTTTAAACATACGTTGTTTAAGATAAATTCATTTTAGTCTGCTGATAATTATAATTATCATATCATATATACCTTAGACCTCACTTCTACCGTTTCAAACGATGATAGTTCATCTGCGGTAAGCGTAACATATAATGGATCGCGTGCGTCAATTTTTTTACTTTCAATCTGTCTGCGAGCATATCTTAAAGAAAGTTTTTTTTTAAACAAACAATGTTTAACTTAAAAGAATATTTGAAATGAATAAGTTAATTAAATTTTAATAAGAAGTTGTGATGAAACAAAGAAATGGAAAGAAATAGCTGAAGGACAAAATTGAAATAATACTAAATATTAGTCACCATAAATTAGTCTAATTAGAATAAAGTAACATACTTACATTCTCTCCGGTTGAGCACTTAACCTTGACTGTTTTGATGTCTCTGTAGACATGGATTGAGCCTGTAAATTTCATTCAATTATCTGAAAACCTTTATATTCTTATACTTCATCCAATATTACCATGTATCAAGAAATTTTAACCTGGTAAGAAATTGTTGGTATATCTTCCATTGTTCGAATGTTCTCTACCAATTTACTTTTCAGCTGTCTTCTTGACCTTTCATCCTTCTGTGTGTTTTCAACTATTAACGTTTCATTGATTTCCTTCTTCTTCTTCTTCTTCTTCTGTAATCGATCCCTGGAATATTTGTTACATCAGAAATGAATTTTTTTTGTTGTAGATTATACTGATCGGAAACGGAAAACGAATAAGTGTTAGGTATGATTTTAGCACATTTATGATATTAGAGCTATATATATCCTCATGTTATATATTCACATGGATGATTCTTGCATTTAAAAGAATAACCTGAAATGAGCTTTATTCTCATATTCATTTTATCTATTATAAAATTTAAAACAAAAATAATAATTCAACTTACTTACCTGTGATTTATTTTTTTTCGTGATTTATTTTCTTTAGCACTTCTTTTTTTCATTTTAACTGATTGATTAGCGCTTAATCTAATATTCGAAATTCGAACTTTATTCTCCGGTGCTATTTTCTTCTGTAAAATGATCATTCATATTTCAAAACATATATACTATTTTTCATTCTCTCAAGCACAGATATAATATACCTGCCAGGTTTTCAATTTATCATTAAAATTTGATCATCATTTATGGCAAAGGCAATTTTTTAAAGTGATTTTTCTAATTACAGTTATGATTTGTTCATCAATGAAAGGTAAGTTTGTAAATGATAAAATATAACCAACATTTTTGATGTTTTTAGCCGTTGGCTTACTTCTTTTCTTTTTATTTAATTTTTTACAAAAACATATGATGCATAATCTTTTCTGAAAAATTTTCTTAAAGATAAAAATTCAAAAATTAAATTTTAAACAGCTTGTTAATTAGCCGATGCAATAATTATCTTCCATATCACTATTAGAATCATTAGTTGAGTGATTATGAATATTTAAACAAATTTTATAAAAGTGAAGATATGATAAAATGTTCTTTCGCTCTGATCAGACTTTGCAACGTTATTTTCAAGAATATTCGAGTGGCTAGCAAATTGCAGAAGAATTGATAACCAACCACGATTCTGCATCCACAGATCATTTTAATGTCTAATTCGATTTTCGGTGCATTGTTTGCGATAACTTCCTTCTATGCTATTTTTCCTTGGCTGCTAAATTTGATAAATTTTCTCCAATTGTGAGAAAAACACTTGAATTTCTAAGCTTCTATCCTATCCTTTGTCTTCTTTATCGTTTTTTAATTTTTTAATTTTCTTAACTTCTTAGTTCATCGATGGCAAAATAGCGAGGTGGGAAAAGATAAGCATGAAGGAAGGGAGCTCGATATTAAAAGATACCTAATCCTCAGGTACTCGTTTCATTACACAAATCAATAATCAAACAAATCGAACCTTACTTAGCGCTACAAATATGTAAAATGAGAAATTTTATGCGAAATTAAAGATTTTAAATACTTCTGAGAATTGCTTTTTAAAATTAGAATAAAACTTGCCAATTTATGAATTTCTGTAATGTAATTGTTATTTCAAATTGAATAAAAATTTTAATTGAAAAATAATATAATATCAAAAGATGCGTCTAAGTGTTTTAATTAGTCTAATCTAATTATGCCATATAAAGTTTCAGACGATATTAAAATTTGCAAAATGGCGCATAGCAAAGATTTGAAATTAACTAAATGAAAATTTATAATTGTTATGAAATTATAAAATGATAATAAATTGTAATCAGTATGCTGATAATTAGAAATAAAATCTTAATCAATATTAAACAACTAATATCATTCATTATAATAAAATACTCAATTTTATAATTTAGCTTTTTTTGGATTATTCAAAATTTCCTATCGCAGTGTCTGTTAAGTTGCATTTGGAGTTTTTGCAACGATAAAATTTTAAATTTGTCAATTTTACCTTTTTCTGGTTTTCATTTGAAAGTTTTAACTATTTTTACTATTAATGTTTTTTCTTTTGAAGAAGGCATGGTATGATGATGATAAGTAGTTTGATAAGTGAAATAATATGTTAATAATATGCTAAACTACTTAAGTATGTTAATATGCTAAACTAATATGCTAAATAATATGTTAATATGCTAAACTCCTTTACCATATCAAAGAGAAATCTCATCATACTATTTCTCTAAAATATTTATTTGAATCTGTCAGAGATTATGCAATAGATTCCAATTTGATTATCAATAAGTGATTATCAGTAAATGCAGTACGATTTTTTATTGATATTTTAAAATGTCAGATAATCTTTTAACATAATCTTTCATCTCTTATCTCTTTTGTTCATAAATAATCATAAATTAATTTTATTAAATGTTATTCGCCAAATTGATTTAATTTTAATTTCTTCCAAATTAATACTGATTCATTTTTTTTCTCGATGATTAAAATGCGAGAAAATTATTTACATCTATTTCGAATATTTTATATCTGATTAAATTTATTTTTGCGTTAATGGATATGTGTAACGGATACGAGAAACAAGTTATTGATAAAGAAGAAATGTGGAAGAAAAGAATTGTCGCTATTAATGAAGATATAATATCGGAACAATAAAATTTATCCTGTTTTCGAAATAACCAAAGATATCCGAAAAGGATGGAGTTTTGAAATGTGATTGGTTATCATGTTATCAATCTTTTGGTTATCTATTGAAGCCTTTCCTTCTATCTCTTTATCATCTAACAATATATCATATTTAACACATTCCTATAAATAGCGAATCATTCTTTAATTATGCCATCTTCCGAAATTTTTAAAACTATCGTTTAAATTCAACAAATGTTTCGTCTAGCTCTTACTATTTCCACATTATTCAGTTTTACCATTGCTTTTCATCGTATGTTTTCTCTTTTCTATATTTGCCAACTTCGATAATTATTGATAAATGTTTACAATTTGAAAATAAATGATTTAAAATAAATATCCGTAAAAATTTTCAATTTTTATAGAGTATCGAAAATTGGATTGTACAGTAAATGATAAAAGAACGGATGTTGCGACAGGAAAGATTGGCTGTCATTTGGTTTTAAAAAATGAAGAATCTGAAGTGGGCAGAAATGCCCCAGAGGGTTCCGGTTGTTATACAGTAAGTACATTTTATTTTCCATAAAAAAATAAAATTCATTTAATGTTTTCATAAGCAAAAAAGAAAGAACATAAATTCTACTCAAAGTTATTTTTCAAATTCATCAACGAGCTGAAATAAAACTTTTGATCGATTAAACAAACAGTTTAAAATGGAAATTCATTCTGAGAAAAATCATTTTGCAAATTTAAATAATTTATTTCGGATCTTCGCGACTTTTTTTTAAATTTCATTTAGTTTCCTTGCGAAATTTTCAAATTAAAACATTGCAAATAATTAAACCATTCCTAAAATTATTATTTTTAATGTGATAATTAAAGATATTTTAATGAAAGTTAAATACTTCATATTAGAGTGTTAGATTATGGCTGACAATTTACACCTTTCTTTATCTCATTTGTTACATTTTTTTCCTAATAGTAAATGAATTAAATCAAAATGAATATGAAAATTGGGATGATCAAATTAAAACGTTTTTTTGCAATGCATGAAATGTTCCTAAAAGGAATGTTTGTTGAATACTTTTTTTTGAATTCAATTTGATAAAATAGGAAATTAAAAATAAAAATTAGTTCAAGAGAGAGAGAAAGAGAGAGAGAGAGAGAGAAAGAATTACTATAATGACCTCTATTGTTCTAAAATAATCCATCATTATTTACACAACAAATTGAATGATTAGAAAATTGTGCCCTAGTTCACAAATAAAGTTAATAAATAAAAATAATTGAAACGGTGAACCGAAAAAGGGGTTGAAATGAAAAGGCTTGTATCAAAAAGTGCACTAATTTGTGTCCATTGTCCACTATCCAAACAATTCTGAAAATTTGTCTCTCTACAACTTCTAATAAAAAAAGTTTCTTTTGTTTTTGCAGGAAGGTTCAGGTGAAAATGTAAAAGTTTTCTGCGCCATTGTTTGTCCAAACGCCCATTTGGTATTTCATTCAAAATCGTTGAGCGATAAACATTGCTTCAAATTCATTTCATACGGGGTAAATTTTTTATTTTCAATGATGCAAATTTATTTCTTTAAAGAATGACCACAAAATTAGAATGACCCCCGAATTATTTTCCTCTGATAGATGATTATCTTTAGACTATATATTTTCAACATGAGACTATTATGTATAATTTTACAAAAAAAAAAAGCATTTAATTACAGCTAATCCAAAAAGATAACGATTGGTATTTATGGCGATCGGGAAAATGCATTAATAGTGCGAAGTCATTTGAAATTGGATGTAAATTCAATGATCCATTTGAAAATCAATTTCCCGATGACAATGTTATCTTTAAACATTTAGCTGCCAGAGTTCGAGCTTCTTGAATACATTTTATTGTGATTGTTCATGTACCTTAGGTTTATTCGTTAGAATATTGCTAGATAGCACCAAAATTTTAACCTTTAACCTTATTTGAATTTTACAACTTCACAATTACGTCCCAATTTTAATAAATTTTTCTTTTGCAAAAATTTGAAAGTTGCATAGCTATAATTAATTAATTAATTGAATAGTATGCTATTATTGCTTGATATAGAAAATTTTGGCACAAAATATTTTGAAGAATAGAAATATATTTCAATAATTTTTCCATTTATTTTATTACTATAAAAATTTTCTTTACTGAAATGTTACTTTTTTTTGCTAATTTTACAACATTGTCGAACATTTGAGAGAAATGCAACAAACTTTCTTAAATAATTATTTCATTTTTAATTTTAGCCTTAAAGCATACCGCTGAAATAGCTAAAAGAAAAATTATTAAATTCTTGAAAAAACAAAATTTTAATTTTAATTAAAAATGAAAATTATTCGTAATTAAAATAGCATAATACATGAACGATTGAAAATATGAAATTTTAAAAGAAATGAAATGCCTAAATGAAAAAATTCCTACCACACGACGTAAATTATGCGAAACTTCTGAGATATTGTTAAGTGTTTTTTAACTAAAAAAAATTATGAATAAAAATAATGAAATTTACACCTTCTCTTGCATTACTAATTAATTAATTACTAACTAAATTAATTTCTTTTTCGTACTACTTCTTACTGTATAATTTTTAATGCTTTTTAATGATTTGAAATTCATCACACACATATTACATATTACAAATAGTTTTCTTCATTCCACAAAAACAAAACCATACTGATAAATGAATTATTTGTTAATACAATAGAAGCGCTTTTGGATAGACAGGTGTAGTGTATTTAAACTTACGCATATCTTTACTAATGAGAAAACAATAAATAAATTTCTACGAACCAAAAATGTATCTTACTTATCATATTTTATTTTTTTAGAATTATTTTCTCAGAGGAATTAGAAAGTAAAAATAGTAGTAATTCATCAAAAACTTATCACAAAACTTTGTGACTTAATTTTTCTCATTCAAATCAATTACTCGATTATTATGTATTTTTACATCACAATTTGTTTGAAAAATAATTTCGAATTGTGTAACATAAGAGAAAATGACACTTTTCAAAATAACAATTTTTTTTAAAATCAATCAGCATTTCATTCGGGTGGATACCCACTTATCGATCTATTACGAATTGTTGTCAATTTATTAAACGATCGTTCAAACTATTAGTGTTAAGTTTTTCCTCAATTTCATAGCAATTGTAGATTGAAAAGTTTCAAGAATAACTCTTAATCGGTCATTACTGACCTATGGTCATTAACACTTTTCATCTTCAACACTCTCTTTCTCTTTCTCTCTCTCTCTCTCTCTCTCTCTCCAAGATCCCTCGCAAGCAATATTCATTTATCCTAAAATGAATGTATTAAAGCAAGAATTGATTACATATAAATAATATCGCCATATCTATTAAAGAATATATGCCAATATGAAACGAGCAAATTTCAATATTTCATATGAATCTCATAATTATAGGATTGAGAGAGTGAAAAGATTTGATAGAAGAAATCTTCCAACATTTTCTTCTCATCTTTTTCCATTCCACTGAAATGGCAAAGGAATTAATACAACAACGAAAAATCGTTTCCTAAGCTATCTTACCTGTTCCTTATAAAGCCATAATGATAACTTATAATCCTATAGAATTAATGCCAAAAGTATGGGTAACCAAAACTTCAGAATTACATAGAACATTTTTCATGAAATATTATTGTGATTAATTAAGCTTTATTTCAATAAATGCGGTTTATTTCTTTGTTCCTTTATGGATAAGTTTTATATAATTCAAGTTGAAACTCCTAAAATGATTGATTACGAACTTGAATTTACTGATTAAACTAGTTGGCTGAATTAATTTAACCTGAAAACTCATTTTTCACTCAGTAAATTTAATTAGATGTTAAAAGAATGGTTTATCTCGATTCAGTCGTTGCTTAAACATATTGTCTTTAAATCATAAATTTATCATTATCTTATCTCTTCGGATTCAAATGAATGCTTTGAAATTTCAGTTTAAAAAAATTCGATTTTTGCTTAACCTCTAATTGTTAAGCCCAAATATTACATTCTAAAGCAAAAATTGAATTAGATTAATTAAAAATTATTAGTGAAATGTTGATAGTGTTAATAAAATATGGAAGTTATTCTATTAATACATCAATATCCTTAATTATTTTTTCATTTACTTCGAAGTAAATTATTTTTTAATGCTAAACTTTTTTATGAATTCATTATAAAAATTACATAATTATGATTTAGGTAGGACAAGATAAGTAAGAAATAATTATGATGAAAAAATAAAATTCCTGAAATATAAATTAATAATTAGATGCTTTTTATCAGTAAAGGCAACAATCAAATGATTGATAATTTCAATAATTAAACCCATTCTTGAAAATCATATTTCAATCATAATAGTTTGAGTTATCATAAAATTATTTATAAATTTAATAACATTATCTCTCTTTTATTTATTGATAATGCATAATTTATAATTTTTGATCGCATAAATTATAAAACTATCAAATATAATTAAATTTATACTATTAGATGTAATCGCTAAACACGTAAGCAACGTAAACCACGTAAGTCACGTAAACCAAATGAATTTTTTCTTTAAAAGTAAACGAAAAAACAAATTTCAACGAATTTTGATTGAAAATAAAAAAATTTATAATTTTCTTTTGTTTTATTTAATTATATTGGCTTCCTCGTAGTTCATTCTATACACACACACACACACACACACACACACACACACACACACACACATAAATCATCATTCTTATTTTCAAACAGATTGAATGATAGCGTCATAATGCCATCTTGTTTAAAATTCTTTCGCTCGCTTTTGTTAATACTTTCGCGCTCAGAAATTTCCGCCCCTGCAAAGAACTGTAAACAAATTATAAATTAGACAATTATTATTGATTGCAACAAAAATTACATTTATATGTTTGTTTATTAAATTCTTTTTTTGTACATTTAATAGTTAAATTTAATTTTATAATTATCTTTTCTTAACGCTTACACAAATTTCATCTATTTGTTAATTCTTTTTAACTAATATAATATTATAGTTAAGAAGGGTTATGATGTTTGTTATATGTTAAAATGAAAATGATAACTTTATAAGTTTCTCAAACTTTTAAGCTAACAATAATTAATATGCTTTTAATTGTTTAGATTATATTTTTTTATGTTAAAAAAAATTATTAAAAAATGATTGATGGAATTTTTCAATTGTCAAAATTGAATTCCTTTTTTTCTTTACAGAAATTAAAATAAGAAAGAAAGAAATAAATATTTTGTTAATTTAATCAATCGATGGAAAATTAATGATAATTAGAGAGAATTATGATCATTATAATAATCGATAAAGAAAACAGAATGATTATTTAGATGAATTAAAAAGATTTTATCAGAAAGAGATGAAAATATCATATCATTTCTTAACATCTTCACCTCTATCGTTTACGCATGTCATTTCGCTTCTGTTAATAGCACCTTATTTCAACAGAATGATGATCGCTGGCTAATTTTCAACTGCGAATAGTTTCATTTCTTTCATCATCTGGCACTATCGGCGGGTGTATGTATCATTTCTTTTCAACCTCTTCCACTACTCGATCTCTTTAATCAAATTTCAATGTATTCATGAAGAAGTAATATTTTATTCTTATTTTGTTACAATTTCGTCCTTTTGACGTTTTCTTTCAAATTTATGCCAATTTCAGGTGAAAAAAATTTTTCTCTTTTTTTGATATAAACTGTCTATAATACAATGATAAACGGATAAATTATTGTTGTGTTGAAATTGTAATTCAATTTTATATTTCTCTTCTCTTTAAAAAAATTCTTAAATTTCATTTTATTGCTCATTAATTTATCTTTATAAGAACAAAGATTTTTATTGCTCATTAATTTATCTTATAAGAACAAAGAACAAAGATAACCTAATCTATTCTAAATAAATGAATTACTCTTTTTTCTTTTCCTTCATATAATTACAAATAGGGCTATTATCAACCGGATTCGGCTATATTTATTTCATATATTTATTAGATTGTCTAAAACTACACAAGTATTAATGTTTTATTTATAGATGTTGTTCAGGTTTTGTTTCTCAACAATTATTCTCTTATATTGTCTGATGAATGAAATTCTGGTTTTCGCTGAAATATGGCCGGATCCGGTTGATAACGGTAAAGAAAATTATCCGAAACCAACTACATGGTCAAACAAAAATTATGGACAATGGTGTCGTAATCGAACTCTTAGCAGGTAACAATTCTCTATCTTCTTTTATTTCTAAGAAAATATAAATATGAAATTCAATCATTTGATTTATTTTCATTTTTTTTAAAATTCTTTATCATAAAATAAGTATTGATTGATTTGTGAAACAATAATTTTAATTATTTTTGGTGGAAATTTATCTTCTCTTATTACACCTAAAGTTTGGAAAACTCAGGTTAATGAATGTAATTTCCAAGTTCAAGTTGAATGATACTTATAAATATATGGAAATTCTTGTAAATTTTTTAAAAATTCTCTTTAAAATTATTCAAGCTTTCTTCTATTGTTGTTGTTGCAATTCGTTAATTCCACACAAAAGCGTAATCTTTCAAATTTCGATGAAAGAATATATTTAATTTGATTTCAGGTATATTCAATGTCCAATGGGTTCAACGTTTCATTATTATTCTTGTTGTGGTGAGACGGCTACTGAATGTTGTTTTCGATTACAACCTACCATTGTTGCTTATTTGCTTTCTCTACTATTTGTTATTGTTGTTTCTCTAATATTTTATTTTTTACTAAAATTTGATATAATTTGTTCAACAGAAAATGTTGCAGAAAATGATGAGGAATAAGGTAGTCTTTGTTTTGAAATTTTAAATATTGAAATTATTAAATTCCTGAAATTCTTGTTTAGCAATTGATGAAATTCAGGTTTAAGCGATTATTTATTCTTTCTTTGACGCTGAAATAATTCGGATTAAAGAACTATTGCTCATAACATAATTGCACAGAAGATTTCAATAATAATTACGTAAGCAATATTCCTTCCGATATGCAAATGTTATCATCTATCAGCTATCGATTGATAATTTAGTAAAACTACAGCACTTTTGCAAGATAAAATATCAATGTAATCATATTCATCATTAAAAGATACTTCCCTTTTTAATTGATGTAATTTTTAAAATAAGCCTTGTTGCGATGCAAAGCAGCTTTGCAAGTAATTCAGGGAATTAATATTTGATAATTTTGAATTTATTCATACCATTTTTACTGTTAAATCATCGAATGGAATATTATCTCATATCACTGGAACAAAAAAAAAAACAAAATAGAATTTGATGGAAATTAATCTGATGAAAAAATTAATTGTAAGTGGCAGTAAAATTAATATCATTATCATTCATTTAATAAGTGGCAGTGTGAATAGTGCAAAAAGATTTGTGTATGTTTGAATATAAGTTAAAATATTGATTTTGAGAATATTTAATTTAAAAAAGAAAATGTAATTTTAATAACTTGTTGAGTAAGGAATATTTTCTTTCAAAATATCGGAGAAAATATTTACATATCGAAGTTTGACTAAGTGACAGCAACTTGAAATTAATAGAAAGATTTCGACAATAATAATTAATTGAAATTTTTTTTCTATAAAATTTTGTTCATAAAAACTATTAGCAATAAGAACTGATATAACCGGACGACATATATAATCATTCCAGTCTAAGTAGAAGTAATAAAATGATATGATAGGCATTAATGTGAAAGAATGGCTTACTCACAAAATTCCAGACATAAAATTAAACTCCCATGTTTTAGTGTCTATTGAAATGAGCGCATATGGATCGGTAAGCACACTTCAATATTCAGGCTGCCCAAAACTGCATTTCCATTTTTCAAATCGATTCTTCAAATGCTTCCCTCATCAACTCCTCAATTTTATGCATTATGTATTCGGAAGAATATCATTTTTTTTATTGCATTCATTTAAAATGATATTATCTTCTCTCAATATTTTCATATTTTAAGCTTCTTTCCGGAATTTTGACCCATCCTGAATTATCATCATTTATTCTATTTTCCGGATTTTGATCTATCCTGAATTATTATCATTTATTCTATCAAATGTGCTTTTCTCTTTACAGCTACCTTCGTTCTCTATTAGCACGAAATTTTTTTTGTTGCATTTTTAAAAAAAACAAAGAAAATTTTCATTAATTTATTATCCAACAAAAAGCCAAAGAGTAAACCGATGAGTCAATTTGATTTCTCAAAAGAGAATTAGAATTTCTCTAAAAAATATATGGATTGCTTTTTTTTGATATAAATAAGGATTGCTCTAATTTGTTTAATTAGAAATTATGATATGAAATGATTATCGATGCAATCTGTTTCACTTATCACTCACTCTCTTTATATCTATGCTATGATCATATTTATACTAATTTTTGTTTCCATAATAAAATATCCATCTTTGCAATACAATTAACATCCTCTGTGGTTGGATAAGAAAGTTAAAACTTTTGATATCAATGTTATTTGCGGTTATTGAATTAGTGAATTCGTGAAGCAATAATGTTGGACATGCTACTTCTACTCTATCTAGTATTTTTGCATGTCAAAAAGTTTTAAGTTTTAGGTCATAAATTCTCCTTTGAATCATCGGATTGATTCATCGATTCAGTCTTTAACCTTTTTTTTTAGATCATAAATTAATACAACTGTGCAAAACATATCAGTTAGTCTTTCCTTATAACTTAAGTAAAGAGTAACTTGCGCATATATGCATCTGTTATAAAGATAGAGGTGGAGAGCTTCTATCGATCAATAATTAGTTTTGGAAATTGAATTGTTTAAATAAATTTAAAGAGATCAAATGTCATATGCCAATAATTCATATGAAAGTAGGCTGCTGAAATCAATATGAAAATAGTTGAAAGTTTTAAGCTTTCTGAAAGCAGAGAATTATATGAAAGCTGAAATTTTATCATTGGAGACTACCATTGAAGACTAATATCAGCTAATTATTAATCGACTAACTGTCATGTTTTGCACAGTTACATTAATTTATGATTTAAGAAAATGTCAAAGATTGAACTGATGAATCAATTTGATGTCTCAAAGGAGAATTACAGTTTTTCTGAAACTGAAGGAATAAGGAATTTTGGACAAAAACCTTAAAGTTATTCTGCGTATGTCAGAAGTCGTTTTCTGATTTGGCATCCGAAAGGTTGGTATTCTTGGTAGGTATGATTCGCTTTTCAGTTTCTATACTATTTCTATTTTCACTTTCTAACTGTTTGCAATATTTTCTAGAATCATATAAATTGAATATACAGTGATAGAAATCGGAAAAAAGATCAGGAATTTTGCTGTAATTTCATTTTAATTAATATTCACATAAATTTCAAATGGCAAAGTTGAAAGTCGTATAGTAATCAGAAGCACTTCCATAGTAATCAGAAGCAAAAACAAAAATACTATTATGAATTTTAAATGAAAAAAGTTTAAAAGTTGAAAGCTGTCATAAAATACTTATTTCTGCTTAAAATTTGAAGCATATTTTTCTCTTTCTTTCTTCGTAACTAAGAAAAGTTACTATGGAATTCATAAGAAATAGCCGAAATAAGATTTAATATCATTTGAAATTGGTAAAACAAAAGATAAAATAAATAAAAGTCAAATAATATGGAAATCAATCGATAAAAATAATTTCGAGGAAATAAATAGTTCTCGTGATTTTTTCGTACATTGAGAAATGAATTTTTCCGAATTTGTGAGAGCAGCTGTTAGCAATAAAAGTTAAAAAAATAAGCCAAATAGTTTGTGTAATATATTCTAAGAAGAGTAGTGACAAGCATATTTATTCTATGATACCATTGAACTGTAATGAACCTACTGGACAAAGAGGAACTTTAACAAGAGAGATGTCTAAATCTATCAAGGTCATCAAGATCATACTCCTTTCTTATAAACATTTTCATTAATTTAATGAATCAATAATCTTTTCTTTTTTATTCTTAAATCACTATTGATGTGTTTATTTAGCATCATTTAGGTGTTATTATCATTTATCACTCTCATATGTTAACTATCATATCAGTAACAACTGTTATTATACATGAGTAATATGCATCGTTTTTTTCCTATATATTTCAACTGAAAGGATGTTTTGGGCATATCAAAAGAAGGATTTTAGCAGAAAGATCATTTCAATCTGACGAATAAAATACAATTCGCTTGTCAATAACTATAGCATCGTACCAATTGCTGTAAAAGATTAATAGTGATATGATAATGATGTCTATTTAAATTTTTTCATTAAATCCATACTTTCTGTTTATGTATCAGCAAGGAAGCAACCAAACATAACAGCAAACTTACTCTTTCTATTCCGCACTCTTATTAATAGTATCAGTAAATTGGAATCCTCTAAAATACGTTTCTATTTGAATATTTTATCAAACTCCTAACTTCTCCTTTTGCTTTCGTTTTTAATTCAAAATCAAGCCAAGCTTTTCATAGTCAGAAAGATCTGTAAGCTGTTTCATACGGGCTGTGTGAAAATCAAACGGCGTGGGATTTTTTGTTAATTTGCATTTTAGTTGCGATCAATTATTGCGGTCCTGTGTGTCAGGATAGATTTATGGCACTTCACCTATGTCCATGGATAAATTAGTGAATGGATTTGAAATAGTGCCATTAGGCTAATCTGTTTCAGACATGTATTTTGATAAATGTTTTCTGGAAGGAAATGGTAGTTAGCTGGTTAACTATCAGTATTCAACAATCATCAATATAAGACATATTTGATTAGCACAGTATCATTAATTTTGTAGTCATTTTATAGATCGATGATAATATTATGGGATTTTAGACAGAAAGGTTTATACAGGAATTTTTTGGTCGATTCACCGTTAATTCTTTAGTAGGTGTTCGAAAAAAATCGTAAAAATAATAAATCATCATTTAAGATTGTCAACAAGTTGTTTTTAAGGATTGTTATGCTTCTTCATTTATCTAAGCTATCGTTGTTGTTTATTTATGTAAAGAAAGAGAAAAAGAAAGTTCAGCTTCTTCCAAGAATACAGATTAGATATATGTTTCGTAAATATATTTTTATAACATTATTCTAGTTTCATAAACTTTAACTAGAAATAATATCCCAGTAAGTTTTTGTTGCTTCACTCTTAATAAGAACATCATAGGTAGTTATTTTTAAATAAATTAAATATGACTGATATTTTTCCGTAGTGTCTTAGTCATTTCTTATACTTCAGTATGAATTATTGATGTTTGAATTAATATATTTTTATAAACTTAATGCCGAATTAACTGGGGTCCGTATTTAAAATAATTTTGATGTCAACGAAAAAATTGTACAAAAATGATGCCTTAGCGTTTTGGTCAAAATGTCATTTTGAAGAAAAGAATGTCACTAATTTTTTTTCCAGTTTTTTTGTCTGAATGTTTCATGAAAAATTAATCTTAAAACAAACTCTGAGCAAAAATGCTCTGGAAATGATTTCTTTAATTTTCCTTTCCAAAAAACTAAACAAAAGAAATTTGATCCCAGTCTGTGTGCATTAAGTGATTCCGTTTACTGATATTGCTTTAGGGTTTGAAGTAGGTTATATGAAGGTTATTAAACTGTTGGTGATACTAATTGAATCTCAATTAACTGGTAAGAACACTGAGCAAAGAAATGTCCTACTCTTTAGAGAATATCGGTGCTTAGGGGATTTATTTCAATATTTTTGACTGGGATATCAATGTTAGGAAATAATTAAGGCTGATCGGTACTGACTGTTTATCATTCTCCTTCAAGGTCACTAAATATATTTGCATGTGG